CTGAGAAACTGGTGACAATACTTCATTTGCAGCAATGCATTTAAGAAGTTCTTTTACCCAGTGTTTGAAGAAATGATGGATCAACAACACTCTTCAACTTCCAGATTCACCATTGATGACCATGTGGAAAACTTCAAGAGGTCGCTAGACCTTGAAACTAGAAAAGGGAGTGACAATTTTGTCGTAACGCTTCAGAGGAAACTGGAATCCCTTATATTGACAGTAGCAAAGCAGTTTTCTGTTGAGGAAACAGAGGTAAACTGTTTCATATTCTTATGAACGTTTAATTATTTGGCTTTTGTTGAAAATACCTTTTTGGATAAATTGATGGTCTTTAGCTTTAGTTTCTGTTTCCGCTGTTTCTCACTCATTGTTCTACAGGTATTTCCAATCATCAGCAACAATTGCAACATTGAAATGCAGAGGCAGCTCTTATACAGAAGCCTCCATGTCCTGCCTCTTGGATTGCTCAAGTGTGTCGTAATGTGGTTTTCTGCTCAGTTGTCAGAAGATGAATCTCAGTCAATTATACACTTCTTAAGTTTGGAAGATTCTTTTTCAAACAAATCTTTTGCAAACCTCTTGTTGCAGTGGTTTCGTTTCGGTTATTCAGGCAAAACATCAGTTGAAAGTTTCTGGAATGAGCTGTCCTTTATGTTCAAACCGAAATCTCCCTTTGAAGAGGAACAACACACCGAAGAAGCTTCTGGATCTTTCGCCAATCAATCACATCTGCAGTCATGCAAAGGAACTGATCCTTATCTGCTTGTATGTAGAGGGAACAAAGATAAGTCTTCAACATGTTTCCAGTCAATGCATCTACATGCTGGTTACATGAATGAGACGCCTTACTCGAGTGCAATGAATCAGCAAATACTTATTCCCGGAAAGCTCAAGCCTTTTCAACAGCTTCCGGGTTTTTTTGGTGACCCGGAAGCTGTTTATGATCACTTAATGAAGGACTTGAAACCGATTGATCTGATATTCTTGTTCCATAAAGCAATGAAAAAAGATCTAGACTACCTTGTATCTGGTTCAGCTCGACTCGCAGCAGACTGTAGCTTCCTCGGGGAGTTTCATCAGCGGTTTCATCTGATAAAGTTCTTGTATCAGATACATTCAGATGCAGAGGATGAGATTGCATTTCCAGCTCTGGAGGCAAAAGGTAAACTACAAAACATTAGTCAGTCATACAGTATAGATCACGAACTTGAAGTCGAACACCTCGATAAAGTATCATTCCTTCTAAACGAGATGGCAGAAGTATCTACTATCAATTCTAATGTACTAGACCACAGGAATTTGAAGTATGAGAAGTTGTGTATGAGCCTCCAAGATGTATGCAAATCAATTCATAGGCTATTGTCCGAGCATCTCCACCGTGAAGAAACCGAGCTTTGGTGTTTATTCAGAAACTGCTTCACTATTGAAGAACAAGAAAAAATCATAGCATGCATGCTTGGAAGAATGAGTGGAGAAATACTGCAGGATATGATTCCATGGTTAATGGAATCTTTGGTCCCTGATGAACAACATGCTGTAATGTCCTTGTGGCGTCAAGCAACAAGGAAAACTATGTTTGGTGAATGGTTAACAGAATGGTACAATAGTCATGTTGTAAGGGAGGAAACAGTGGAAGCAAATAAGGACCTATCTGAGGATGCAGATCCACTAGATGTTGTCTGGAAGTATCTCTTTGAAGGAGCTGATGATGAAGACAGAGGAAGCATTTGCAGCAAACCTCTGGAGTTTTTAGAGACAGATTTAAAGGGTCTCATGAATAAGCCAATTGGAAAGGATGCTCACAATAACAAGGTAGAATTTGGCTACAAAGAAGAGAAACATCGGGAAATCTCGGAAAGTAAAAAGGTATGTACAGGAGCTACTGAAGAAAGGAGGTACAACGAACAAACTGCTCAAGCTTTCCAAGTGTATCAGAAATCTAACCAATCTAGCCAAAGAAGCAAATATGAGTGCCTATTATCAATGAGTCAGGAGGATGTGGAGGCTACAATTAGAAGAATATCCCGTGACTCTTCCCTTGATCCTCAGAAGAAATCATTTATCATGCAGAACTTGTTAATGAGGTAAGTGATGCAATTCCATTTTTCATTGGTAGGAGAAAATATTTCAGTCATGTTATATAATGCTTTCAAAGTATATGAGGAATCAGTCTTGTACAAATCTGCGTCACTAACTCTTTGTTTAGTAGATGTGCAAGAATCATCTTTAAATAACTCTTTTTCATTGTTCTTTTTGTTGTGACTTACACTAGGTTGTGTACTTTTTCAGCCGTTGGATTGCTACGCAGCGGATACATAATCTCGAACCATCCATTATCTCAAGCAATAGGGAAGAAGTTCCTGGTCAGAATCCATCTTATCGAGATCCTCACAAACTAATCTTTGGTTGCAAACACTACAAGAGGAGTTGCAAGCTTCTTGCTCCTTGTTGCAATCAGCTCTTCACGTGTATACGGTGCCATGATGAAGAGGCTGATCACTCAGTGGATAGGTCTGTGGCTGGTGCTTCTGTTTCCACGTAATGAACACTGTTGCAACTGTCTCTAATTTTCTTAAATACTTATGCAGGAAACAAATCACAAAGATGATGTGCATGAAGTGCTTGATAATTCAGCCAGTAGGTGCGACCTGCTCAAATACTTCATGCAACTGGTCAATGGGAAAATATTACTGCAAAATCTGCAAATTGTTCGACGATGAAAGGTAAAATCTTCTTCTGCTTTAACATCTCTATTTTGATTCCCAATCTATCCTATTAAAACAGAATGGCTTACTTTGCAGGGAGATCTATCACTGTCCCTACTGTAATCTCTGCCGGTTAGGGAAAGGATTGGGAATTGAGTACTTTCATTGCATGAAATGCAATGCTTGCATGTCACGTCTGTTAATAGAACATGTATGCAGAGAGAAGTGCTTAGAAGATAATTGCCCGATTTGTCATGAGTATACCTTTACCTCGAATTCTCCTGTGAAGGCTCTTCCATGTGGTCATGTGATGCACTCAACATGCTTTCAGGTGCTTAAATTTCTCACTATATTCGTATATGCAATTATGGAAACATAAGCTAAAAATGTTGTTTAGTGAGTATGTTCTTGTTTTCTGATTGTAGGAGTATACATGTTCGCATTACACATGCCCTATTTGTAGCAAGTCATTAGGTGATATGCAGGTTAGTTTACACATGGTTCTCTCCTTGAAAGAAAAAAAACTCGAAAGCAACGTGTTCTTGAATGCTCAAACATTGAGGGGATCACTAATCAAAGGAACCGTCTCACGCAGGTTTACTTTAGAATGTTAGACGCACTGCTCGCAGAACAAAAGATGCCGGATGAATACTCAAACCAAACTCAGGTTCTTCTCTCACAATCTTTATACATATATGTCTGCAAAAATATCAGTGCATTGTCTTAAGTTTAAATGGGTTGGTTTGGTGCAGGTAATACTATGTAATGACTGTGGGAGAAAGGGAAATGCTTCCTACCATTGGCTCTATCACAAATGCTCTTCTTGTGCCTCCTACAACACAAGACTTGTCTAATTCCTTCTTTTTTCCTCTTGTACATCACCAAGTCTATAACAGTTTTTTTCTTTTATCTTTTTTGGAAGTAATTTGATTTTTTCTTTTATGAAAAAATAAACCACATATTAATAAATCAAGGTTTTTGTTTACACCAACTGATTGATCTAATCTTCAGATTATTGCAAGAGGAAGATACAAATGAAAAGCAGAGGGACAAAAGACTGGAGAGAAGTTCCAAGTCTATTCCTAACCTTAAACTTATGACTTACAAACTAAACAATTCATAAAGATGCAATTGGCCAAAAGATAAAATAAAATCCTGATTTGTGAAACAAAAAACTCACAGCAAATGCATCCTCTCAACATAAGACTGAAGCAACCACTTGTTGAGAGACTCTCCACATCCAACGAAACAACCTGAGTTTCCATTCTCCATGAAAAACGGTGAACCGAACATGTTGAGCAGCTCTTCAACTGCTTGTCTCACCATTGATGTACCGGTGACTCTACTACGTCTTCCCCAACCAGTTACTATATCAATCCGGGAAGGGCAAGATCCCGAGGCTAATATCTGCTTACGGAACCAAGCAAGCGTCCTAGAAAGCGCCATGACTGCAGTTCCCTCCGACATTACATGGAGATTGATAAGCCAGTAGCTGCTGCTTTTCTCCCTTAATGCATCAGGAAACACATTCTTTTGTGCAGCAACTTCCCAAACCGATCCCGCCTCTTCTTTTAGCCCGGACTTGTGTAGAAAGTCAACCACCGCGTCCACCAGTCCTCGCTTGCTCTCTCTGTCCTCGCTGTGCATGAGATCCAGGAAGTTGTTCACATGGTTGCGCACGTTTTGGCCATCGGGACCCGCAGATGGCATCTTGAGGAGAAACATATGTGCTGGATGACCTGTGCTTGCCATTAGCTGGCTAAAGAAACCCATGTCAAGCTTTGACCTACCATCTGTGCAACTACTCAAGAGTAGCGTGTATGTCTGCAAAGAAGGGCGTAGACCAAGCGACAGCATGTTTTGTAATAACTCATAAGCGTCGGCTATCTTGTTAACCCTAAGGAAAGTACTAAGAAGGGAATTGCATGTAGGAACATTAGGTAGCAGGCCAGCATGAAGCATTGCCTGATACCATTGCCAAGCCTTTTCCACATTACCAGCTTTTCCCCACAAATCCACCAAAAGACCATAAACCGGCTCATCGGGAATCCAGTTCTTCTGCTGCATCTCGGTGAAAACAGCCTCTGCTTCCTCGAGGTGTCCACAATGGCCAAGCACCTCCATCACAATGCTATATGTCACTTTGTCAGGCTCAAACCCTGCGTTTTGCATGTCACGGTAAAGCTTCAACGAGCTCTGATAGTTTCTCGCTTTCGCATGCAAGTCTATCATGATATTGTATGTCACCAAATTAGGGGTACAACCCTGATCAACCATCTCACAAAAGAGCTTGTGTGCAGCGGGTAAATGTCCAGCTTTTCCAAGACAGTTTATTATGACACTGTAAGTGAAAGTATCAGGAGAAAGACCTCCTGCTTGCATTCTCTGGTACATATCCATGGCAATGTCAAGAAATCCAGCTTTAGCATGGATGTCTATAAGGGTACAGTAAGTTACTCGGTCAGGTTTGCATCCAGCCTCTTGCATATGATTGAACACATTCATAGCTTCGTTCAGGTAATTAGCGCGGCCATAGCTATGGATAAGTCGGTTATATGTAACTGTATTTGGCTGACATCCATCTCTAACCATCTCATCGAGGAGCTTGTTTATTGCACCAAATTGCTTAGCACGACCGAGGTTACCCACCATAGTGGTATAAGTATGTCCATCATGCTTAAACCCAGGTTGCCTTTTCAACCAGTAGAAGAAACCGAGAGCACTTCCATAGTCACTCATCTGCTTAAGAACTTGGTTTGCTTGGTATGGATCCATCCTCAAACCGAGATTTTGAAGGGCCTCTTCAGCAGCAGGGCCCCACCCGAATCTCCGCAAAACGCTGGAAACATTTTCCACAATGTATCCGGAATTACAATACTGCCTTGATGTCAGAGCAGTCCCTGAAGGTCCTTTCATCATTTCGGTTGAAGATTTGCTGAAACCGCTTGGCACAAACCTGTTGGAATCAATATTGGGTCTTTGCAAAATGCTTGTCCTCTTGCCGGACATGTTATTTGTCGTCGGTACTGAAACTTGTTTGAATCCTTTAACAATTCCAGCTCTTTCAGCTTCCCTAGCCCTTCGGAAGCTGCTGGTAGGATTTCTAATTTTACCCATTGACGACTCTTTTGCAGCTGGTCTAGGATAAACTTTGGCAAAGTGTTCTCTTCTAATAGCTTTCACATTAGACGATTTGACACTTGAAATAGGCCTAGTTGGATCAACCATACAGCTTTTCGGAAATCCACTTCCTCCATCAGACGAAGGAATCTTACAATTCGCAAAATCTGACAGAAAATTTACCGCTACAATCCCGGCCCTAAAAATCTGATCCCCAATAGGTTCTGAAGAAGGTTCACCGTTCTCCTTCTCTCCAGTGATGGTTGACGCATAACTAACCGAATGTGACTTACACGGCAAAACAAGAGAAGAAGGAGAAGAAACATGTTGTGGCAATAGAGATGGCCGACCAAAATTATCAACATTCTTTGGAACCACCGGTTTACTTACCTCTCCTGGTAATATACTTGCCACTACTGAAGGCTTAAATACAATACTGGAAGGTCGTTTTTCAGTCTGTGCAGCTTCCTTCCTAGGTTGTTGGCGTCTCGAGACACAAGTTTCGTCATCCGTGTACGAACGAGAATTCCTGTCTGCTGCACTTGTTCTCGATCCATTAAGAAAAAAGGATCTTGCTGTACTTGAAAGGTTACTAAGCTGCTTTGCGCGAATCATTTTTCTGTAAACAAGTGAATAAGAATCCATGATTATCAAGCATACTTCAAAAAGACGGTTTTCGAGCATTTACAATCCATGAATTAGAGAGAATACATTAGAAAAATACCCATTTTAGCTCTTCTCCGAGCTTTGTTACATTTACATTACTACAACAACTAGCTTCGTTCCAACATTTCAAAGTCTCCATTTTTTCGTGTATACTCACAAAAGTCAAGACCTTTTTTTTCTGCATCCCTCAATTTGAACATTCAAAATTTTCGACATCTGATTCACATCACATTACAATCTACTTGATCATTAACATTCAAACTCTCACTAACGGTCTGAAAATTGAGCTAAAATCTCGAGAAACGCGTTAAACCCAGAAGAAGAAAAAACACCAAAACCCATCACGAGATGTTTTATCGGACAAAAGTTGAAGATAAACGAAACTCAGAAATCGTCGTGCAAAGATTAAGAAGAGCAATCGGTGAAAAAAAAAGACAGAAATAAGCGAGATCAATAGAACACAAAAGTCACCTAAAAAACGGTGGGCTTTGACTTCAATGGGTTTCTTCAGGTGAAATTGAGGAACAAGCTCGTCTTCTTCTTCCTCGTGGTGCCGTCAAAATTGAGAGAAACGTTCTTTTACTCTCCAAGCATCTTGGCCACACGGAGGCTGCTAATTCTGAAAGGTCTCAAC